CTCTCTCTCTCTCTCTCTCTCTCTTACTCTCGCACTCATCTCTCTCAGACATCATTACACCACCACCCCATGTACAAATAGTGAAGCACATTAAAAACATAGCGATAAGCTAAGTATTATGTAAGTATTGGAAAACTTCCACTAATTCTATGCAAAGTATAGCTTGTAAAATATCATTCATTAAAACTAGAGCTTACATTATAATTTGAGAAGAGAGAAGAGAGATCTGCCTCGCGATTATTCGCAGGGCAACGTTCCCTTCTCCTTTCTCTTTCTTTTTTTTCTCTTATCTTCTCTCGATTGAAGCGCTGCTTCGTGACTCGGACACCCTTGCCTTCATCGCGTTTTCGGCTCGAACATGACTCGAAAAACTAATTCGATCAAAACGGGACACCGTTCGTCCTGATCGCGCGCAGCGGTCGGTGTTTTAGGTACAACTTCGTAAATAGCGTGTCCTCGTGTTATCGCCCCGTCCTGAAGATTCATGCTACAGATTACATTACATTTGTAAAATTACAGTTGAGCTCAACTCACTATGCCCTGCCGTGTCACACATCGTACGACGGAAACAAGTCAAAAATCATCGTTTCTGCTCTCCCCTCGCTTACTGTTAAACGCATCTATCTAGATGTACGCGCGCGTGCCGACGAGGAAACCCTCGATTGCACACCGTGTCTGCGTAAATTTGCCAAACTATCGTCTCCCCGCTCGGACATCAATCCTGTCTGATCGTGTCTCCGACTCAGATTGGCTAAAATTTATTTCAAACTGGATCATAAATTGAAATAAGTTTTACCACATCCTCTTGCGATTGGTGCGAGTAAGGTAATCTGACAAATTTCGCGTACACGCGAAAATAGCAAAACGCTCGACACAACGATAAATAATCGTTCGGCGAATCGCTCGACGCATCGGCTCGTCTCTCTCTCGAATCAACAAATAATCTCTACGTTAGAGAACGAATAAATAGCGATAAGTCTTATCTCAGAAACTCTATCCAGCATCCACGAATCGGAATAATGTGAGGAAGTGCAACCATTTGTTCCCAAGTTTCCCAAGGTATAGCATTTAAAAAAAATAATCTAAAGGAAAGGTTGTCTGATGATGTTACTTGTTGAACCGCGGTGGTCTCCTCAACCGCGTTATCAGCTCCGTCCTGACAGTCCTGGCATAATTCGGCGTGGCGTACTGATCGGTCACCGCAATCGTGCTCTGAAGACTCTGTATAAATATGGACGAGTCCTGTATCTGACCTACGCCCGCCGCCGCTGCTTGATACTGATACTGACCGGTGGTCATGTCGGCGGTTGGGTAGTGACTCGGCTGCACAAACTGCGGCGGATTCTCGTATTGTGGATACGGGATCGAGCTCTCCGCGGAGAACTGCGGTATCACCGGATTGACGTTGACCGGTGTGGTGGGGTAGCTACCCGGGTCGTAGGTCTGATACTGGTTCAGCTGGCCGATCTGCGTGGTGTTGAACGGCGGCGATTGCGGGAACTGCGCCGCGGTCTCGGAGAACAGCACGTTCGCGACTGTCGGTTGTGGAAAGGGATCCGGTCTCGGATACGGCGAGATGTTGGCCGTCACTGCGCTACTCAGATTCTGCATGCTCGATATACCGGCGGCGATCGGCGAGGTGCCATATCCGTGGAACGCGGTCGGTGAACGACCGGCGTGATCGCTCAGGTCCTTCACTCCGCCACTCTGTAACGAGCTCATGACGTTGAGCTTGGACTTGGCGCCGCTGACTCCGATACCAACACCGACACCGATGCCGACGCCGATTGTCTCGTTACCATGCTTGGTACGCGCATCCGTCAGCAGCGGATGCCGCACGTTAACGATGCTCTGCGGAGCGCGCAGCGGCGGAAAGTTGATCGGTGCCATTTTCGGCATCGAGCTTTGTTGCTGTTCCAGTGCTTTGCGCGCGACCGCGAACGCGTTACTGTTGTCGTTTCTCTGATAGGCACCAGACTGCGGACTGTATGGGCTGGACGGCGTATAGGTTTCCCTGTGCAAAATCGGTGTCGTGACCGATGACTGCTGCGTCGTGAATCTCAACGGTAAATTGGGAGTCATCGATCCAACGATGCCGATGTTCTTGTAATCCGGACTGTTCACCGATTCCTTGTAATCAGATTGGATGGGATAATTCTTGACACTCGAATCGGTCTCGCTTGAAAACTTCTTCGAGGCGGTGTAATCCTTTGAATTTTTTACAGAATTCTCATGCGCGGAACTGCTTACGCAGGTATTGACAGGCCGTACGCTACTGAATGTGGAATTGGACTGCTGCTTCCCAGTGACGATCGATGCGTTTTTCGTCGTGTTGTGCGATTCGCTCGAGGACTTGATAGTTTCGTTATGTTTTTTCGTCGACGAGTTAATTTTGCCAGTGGAAATTGAGCTTCCGGACGTTGTGACGGTGTGCAAAGCGGAATCCTTATTGCCCGCTGTGGTGCTCGTTACTCTAGCAGGCAACTTGGATGTTCTAGTCTTTCCCACGTGGTCTAACTTCTGTCCGCTCTTCCCTTTCTCGGAAATATGATGATTGGTCGGTAATACTTTGATGTCGGTATTATTGTTCTTATTATTAGACGCCAGATTGTGGGACTTGCAGGTGATGGTGACAGCTGGCAGGAGCAAAGCGCTGGCTCACTTTTTGGTCATAATTTTCAGATATTCCAGAGCATTTTGAGCAGCACTGGCTTGAGCATCTTTACTAGTCGCACCGCAACCATAGCAAACTGCCACTGGCAGGGTAGACAGTTGCACAAGGCACTGGAATTTACCTGCAAGACGAAACAAACGTAGTTTGTTGTAAGTCTGCTAAAAATAGTGATGTCGATAATATAATTGTATAAATTTATTTCATATAGAAAAAATTTAACAACCAAGATCCTGCTTGCCAAGGAATTGGCTATGACTCTCTCAAACGTAGTTGTTAATTATAATATTATTTATGAATTATTCTGTTCAACATATATAATTAGACAATTTTGATAAAAGCTTATGTATGTATGTCATGTATGTATAGTTCATGTGAAAGATCAAAGACGTCAGAAGTAGACGTCGATAAACTTATGTAACACCGTACTTAACAATTCAGCATAAAAAAAAAAAGAAAGATAACTATGGAGAAGAGAAATGTTATCTATAGTGATTGGGTGACCTACAATATGGCAACTTTAACATCAGCCAAGAGTGCTTTGAGAAGAGAAATCAAAAATATTCTTAGAAATATCACTCTAGAGGAAAGAAAAAAACAGTCTGCAAATGTGTTCAGAAAGGTAAGTTTGAGAAAAATAAATAAATCAATAATCTTCTCCAAATTAAACTTTATTGAAAAGAGGTTAGGTTTTTGATAAAGCAATGAATTATATAAAGGGGTGCATTCCGTTTCTTGCATGATGTGCGTGATGTATCATTTGTTCTTATTACTCATTATATGTTAAACAAGAATAAATAATGCGTTATGCGCATCATGCAAGAAATGGAATGTATCAAAGGAATTATAATGCAATATGTATTTTATTATTAAATTATTGTCTCATTATTTTATATAGCTATGCTTACTAAAACAATATCAAGATAGCAAAAGAATTTCGCTGTATCTAAGTACTAAAGATGAAATCGACACTCTGCCTATCTTGAAACACATATTTGATTTGGGAAAAGAAGCATTTGTACCACAGTATCATGGAAAAACGATGGAAATGGTAAAACTAAGGTCAATGGAAGATTATGAGAAATTGCCACTCACAAAATGGAATATTAAACAGCCAAGCACTACTGAATGTCGGGAAAATGCATTAGAAACAGGTAAATCTTATGATAAAATAAATTATAGTATGATGCTTATCTTTATAATTTTTTTACTTTAAAATCTATTTTAAAAATTTTATTGCTTAATATAATTAAAGTTGCATAAATTCTTTATTGTAGGTGGATTAGATTTAATTATTTTACCGGGTGTTGGTTTTACGGTAAATGGTGAGTTTTTATAAAATAACTATTATGTTTTGCAATTTTCTGGAATAATTGTTTTATTTTTATTATTATCCTGTTGATTAGGAAAACGTTTAGGACATGGGATGGGTTACTATGACAAATATCTAAAAAGATGTTTTAAAAAACAAAGGATGAAACCATATCTGATTGCAATAGGATTTAGAGAACAGATACAAGAAGATATTCCTACTAATGATGATGATATGCCTGTGGATATTGTACTTACTGGAGACTAAATAATATAATAAAAAGGTGTGTAACTTCATTTTCCATGCATACAAAGAAAATCTTCACATCGTTCATTAACTTACCACTGATAGATTTCTCTTCAATATCAACATAGGTTACTTCAAACTGCTGCTCCGACGCGATTTCTTGTAAAAATTGTACCAAATTTACATCCCCATCGTTGAAACAAGTATTCTGCAACAAAATTAGAATTACTTGCGCGCGATCTGTCAACTCCGATGTGTACGACACTATCATAAAGACATAAATAGAAATGAATAATGCTCTTACAGGCTTGGCAACAAGTACAAGAGCAATTACACAACACTTATTCTTGTATTCATTTCATCGAGCTTGCATACAAACCTGCAGTTGAAAAAGTTTAACACCTGTGGACGACTTGAGACTCTTGTGAAATTTCGAAACTTGGATACTATGTACTGTTGTCAGTGTCGAAATTTTGCTACCTTTCAGATCGGCATAACGGGCGCTCACGTTTGCATTTCTTTGCACAATCTATAATGGACAATCAATATACATGTAAAACTTTTTGTTAAAAGCATATACGTTACAACGAAATGCTTCGTTATTAACAGCTACTTCACATTTACATAAAAAAAACTTAAATGAAGTGGACATGACCCAAGCGTAATTATTTTTCAAGTGAAAAATATACACAACTATACGGAAGTTGCACACTGAAATGCGATATTACCTAAATAATGGTCCGTTATAGATTTAAACAGATCGGAAAGATAGCTCACATTTTACACAGTGGCATTAGAGCCAAAATCACTTCCACTTCTCTAAATACACGCACATTTGTGTATGAATATACACACGCATGCATACAGACATATACGCGCACACACACATACACATCAGATTTTAAATAAATTATCATTAGTCGCTTGCTTCTTAACCCTTGTAATCACATGTCTGACAATTTTTACAAAATTTTTATCTTTCTAATCATACATATTTTTTACATGTTTTAAAAATAATTTTAAAGGACAAGAGGTGTCTTCAGCTCCAAAATTATTTTGATTAATAAAGGTCTACAAATACAAAAGATTAAAGTATTCAACTGTCTAGGCAGTGATGAATAGGAATTAATACACATCGACACATAACAATAATCTTCATTATCAAATATAATGATAAATAGAATGGAAACACATATTCTTACCTCATCTTCATCCACATTGGGAGCTTGATTATTCATATCGTGTAAAGCTTGCCACATCTTATGAGCAGCATGCCTCTTTGCGACCTTTTTACTCTTTCCCTGACCGACTTCGCGATACTTTAATATTGAACAAACAATAGTGAATTGTCTCTCATGAGGTAAACCTTCTTCACCCTCCATCGTGTATTTCGGAGGTGGCCAATGACGCGACATACACATTTCTTGTAAGGCTCCGATTGGATTGTTTACTACCTTCTCCTCTCCATATGACTGTAATTCTTGTATATTTTGTGAACTGCAAAAGGACATTGACTTACTTTTTTTTCTACCATTTTTCTACCAGGTGTTTTTATATGTGTCTATAATTTTAAGAGTACTTTGCATTGAATACTTACTCAGGCAAACTATTTGGAAGTGGAGATTCTGCATTTTCAGTATTTACTCCAATTAATTTATCCAACACAGCTTTCGCAGCAGCGTGTTTCGCCTCTTTCTTGGACCTGCCAGTCCCCATTGCTGAAACAATTGGATCTGCTTCTGAATAATTATGCACTTATCAATCAATGGCACATTAAATCACAAAATACAAATGTAGAAACTTGATATACGAACCAACAACATCGGTGACGGTGACTCTATATCGAAATGTAGGCTCATGAATAGCTCCTTCTATCTGGACCAATTCATACTTGGGTATTGTGCCTCGGCGGGAAAGTAATTCTTGGAGAACGGAGACGGGTGTTTTGCTGGGTAACGCCTTCATTTCCAAACGTGCAGCTTCATGCAATGGCAGCTTCTCCAACATCATAGCATGTAAAGTTACACGAACTCTATTGCGACGATTGACATTATTTGAGTGATTAGGAACGCTACCCACACCAGCCATCATGTTAGGCCCGACCTGCGGTGGTTGATGAATCTCCTCCATTGTGGTGATCTGAAAACATGTGTTATGAGTCTTAACCTTCCAATGTCAAAGCGACCGGCGAAATAACACACAAGACTCGAGTCGCGACATTGAAGCGTGGAATTTAACATTTTTTTTTTTCTAATCAGCTTCAAAAGTGTAAGGACAACACTTTGAAATTTCACAGCTTTGTGCAAAACTCGTCGTCGCATTCTCATGCCCTGTATTTACATATTTCTTATCGAGCGATGACACCGCGTATAAAGAATAAGAATAATAATAAGCCAATTAGCGCGTGCTCGCGCTCTCTACGATTTCTCTCGATCATCCCGCTATAAATATCGAAATCGCGAAATGCTCACCCGTGATTTCCAGCCATCGCGAGGCGACGAGGATGCAACGTCATTAATCCGCGATTGAACGTTCCGATGAACAGCGAGAGGCCGGACGCGATGTCCGCGCGTAAAACGCGACGAGATCACGTCTCATCGACATCGACGCGACCGATCGTACTCCGAAACGGCGAGAGCGACCGGTATGGCCGCCATGATCGTTATAAAACCCATCGATTGATCGTAACGGAAATATGCGTGAAACTCGTCGGGGACGGGATGTCGTCGCGTGGAAAACGCGTGTGCCTCGTGTACGCGGCGTCACTTCGTCACGACGACACCGATGACGGCTCCGTATTTCGTACAACGACGACCGCCGCCGCCGCCGCCGCCGCCGCCGCCGCCGTGTCCAACCGGTCGTACGTATGTATGTGTTACATGTACGTGTATAAGTATCGTCCGCTACCACGGTTCGATCTCGCGGGCCAAAGTCACCGGGAGAGATAAACACGCGTCCTCTTTGCACTTACGATTTTCGGGGAGACGTTGCTGCGTGGAAAGAAATGTTCCAGCTGGCTCCTCGTCAGGCCAATTCCTATGCGAAAAGCGAATCCCGCTTTTTGTGATCGATCCAAGTCTCACAAAAAGCTTGATCCGTTTGACGACAGAAAAATGGTTCACTGGTTAGCGGAGAATCCCTTCCTCGTTCGCAGCTCTACGATATCTGTGAGGGTGCCCATAACCGCGTTGGTATATGCGTGTGCGTGCGTACGTGCGTGCGCCGCCGGACATGTCCCTAGACATCGCGCCGCATTTTCGCTCTGCGCAGGCGCGGACGTGGGGACACGCGAGATGTTCATTGGCGATGTTCAGTTGGTAGGCGGAAAAACAATTGTTTTCAGCCACACAACACCTAACCTAACGTATTCGGTGGACAACATATGTGCTTGAAAAACATATTTAAATTTCTCCTGATAAACAATTTAAAGACACTTTTAAGATATTTTCAAGACTTTTGGAGAAAAAATATTTGAAAGTATCATTTAAACAATTTCTGGAGAATGTATAGATATCTGCATTACCTCTCGTGATGTTTATTGATTAAAAAATATATATATAGCATATATAAATATTTACTGTCAGTTAAAACTTGGTACTTTGATTTTTTTTTATTTTTGTGTCACAACGATATAATTTAAATTTGATAGAAACACGTTGGATAAGAATGTGTCAGATAGGAATTCAAATTTAATAAATCAGTATATTTGATATTTATAATATAATTTGTTAATTGTCAAAACTCCAAAATATTATATATTACACAATTACTAACATATTAACTTTTATATATCAAAATAAAAAATTATCATTATTATTAGAAATAAAATTATTTTTTCTTTTGCCATTATTTTTTATTTATATACTACTTTTGTATCAAATTCTTTATTTCTGAGACACATATGTTTGTTATCTCGACTGGTGGCGACCAATCAGAAGTGAAGATTCATGCAATCACATTTAGTGATATCGCATGGTATTTACATTCACCGGCATATCTATCATCACTGCGTTCATGGCATAACTTTTTTTTTCCCCTCTGCGTCACTTGGACGGATTCGGTTGGAGTCGCGTTGTTTCGACATACCGTATGCGAGCCATCGTTTCGGAGTGGCATATTTAACAACAAATCAACGAGATCGTTCGTGCATAAGGTGCAACAATGGGACGTTACAGGAGGTAAGTGGCTCCAATAGTGTGGTAGACACGCACATGAAACAGCGAATAGAAGAGCGCCCGCCTATTTCTCTGGCATCCGTGTCGACGAGAGAAACCACTTGCAAGGCCCGCCTTTCTGTCAAAAAAAGTCTTTATAAGTTTTTTTTTTTTCTGAATCGACATCTAGTCGTATCTATCTTTGCTGTACACGAGATTACTTGTGAACGAACGCAACTTCTCCAGCTGTGAGAAGTCTCTGATTAACGCTAGGAATCTGGTATTTTAGCATCTAATTCCATATACAACTCGTTTCAGTCGTAGTCGCGATAGGGATAGGAGACGCAGATCGCGCACTCGTTCGCGGAGTAGGTCACCGCGCGACAGAAGGAGCTGGGGCGGCAGCGGAGGACGCGACAGACCCTCCAGCAGTCGCAACAGTCGCGGGCAACCGGGTGCGAATCTAAGAAAACCACGGTGGGATCTCAGTCGGTTGGAACCCTTCAAGAAGGATTTTTATATTCCCCATGACGCAGTGCAGAATCGGGATCCTCGTATAGTGGAGCAATATAGGGCGGAAAAGGAAATCACTCTTAGAGGCAAGAATATTCCAAATCCTGTTTTCGACTTTGACGAAGCTGGCTTTCCAGATTATGTTCTAAGAGAAATCAAGTAAGTAAGGGACAACAATTCTAATTGATCTGACTGTGATGAGTTTTCTAAGCTGTTTCCATTTTGCATTATAGGAGACAAGGTTTCAGCGAACCTACATCAATCCAAGCCCAAGGATGGCCTATTGCGTTAAGCGGACGAGATATGGTGGGCATCGCATCCACGGGATCTGGAAAAACATTGTCCTATATACTGCCCGCGATAGTTCACATCAATAGTCAACCGAAATTGAGTCGTAAAGATGGACCTATCGCATTGGTATTGGCGCCTACCCGAGAGCTCGCCCAACAGATTCAGCAAGTCGCTGATGATTTCGGACATTCGTCGGGTATTAGGAACACATGCCTGTATGGTGGAGCGCCGAAAGGCGCTCAAGCCAGAGATTTGGATGGTGGTGTAGAAATAGTCATCGCCACACCTGGTAGATTGTTAGACTTTCTCGAGTCCGGGAAGACAAATTTGAAAAGATGTACATATTTGGTATTAGACGAAGCTGACAGGATGTTGGACATGGGATTTGAGCCGCAAATCAGGAAGATCATAGAACAAATCAGACCAGACAGGCAGACGTTAATGTGGTCGGCTACTTGGCCTAAGGAAGTAAAGAATTTAGCAGAAGATTTTCTTAAAGATTACGCTCAAATCAATGTCGGTTCTTTGCAACTTTCAGCAAATCATAATATATTACAAATAATTGATGTGTGTCAGGACTATGAAAAAGAGAATAAGTGAGTATGAGAGTTTTTAATGATTCTGGCTTTGTTCAATTAATTGCTAGCAACTATTAGCGAGAAGGATTAATTATTATCGGTAAAGAAAGAGCTGTTATATCACATTTTTATAGATTAAGTACTCTATTGAAGGAGATAATGGCAGAAAGCGAGAATAAAACTATAGTATTTATCGAAACGAAGCGTAGAGTGGATGAGATAACAAGGAAGATGAAGCGTGATGGTTGGCCAGCAGTTTGCATTCACGGTGACAAGACGCAGCAAGAACGGGATTGGGTTTTACAAGGTAAAAATTTAAACAAATCAATCTTGTTATTGAAAATAATGAATAATTTTAAAAGATAGGAATAAGCAAATGTTGCTTGTCCTTGGCACTTGAAATTATTTCAAAGTATATATGAATATCCGATATTAAATTAGTAAAACAAAGTTAGTTAAAATATATATTGAATTTGTAGATTTCAGATCAGGCAAAGCACCAATTCTTGTTGCTACAGACGTTGCTGCGCGCGGTCTCGGTAAGTCATTTGAATTTTTAATTTTCGATGACGCAACGATGTCGTGTATTAGCAGTTACTTTTTCCTGCAATATGGAAAACAAACTGGTTTAATATTCATGGTATTAATTTTTCCCCAAAATTATCAATTTTTTTTCTCTTTTTTATAAGTGCTCTATTCTGACCAAAAATTTAACAAATCTTGACTACAATGTAATGTTCCGTTAAAAGCTAAAAGATGCGAATAAATATTTCGCATTTGAACATAATATAATAACAGTCTTTAAATTAAAATGTTTATTTAAATGAAAATGTTTCGAATATAATATCGTGTCATAAAGAGTTAGAATATATGTTAGTTATCTTGTTATAGTTTCTAATGATATTAGATAAGTTAAGTCTAATATCATTAGCAGAAAATAATAGAAATCAAATGTTTTCATCTGAGTTTGCGTAACGACTATAATCTTGGCTTAATTTTCTACAGTTGAATGCATATTATACGAAACATCGATTGCAACAAATACATTGTATCCAAGTACGAGCTCTCTACAAACGGGACATTACAGTTCTAACGCGTTATAAGTTTGAAATCAGCAAGAATGTAGGAGAGGAATAGGGCAAAAGAAAAGAAAGCAAAAAAAGAGCATATTGAAACAGGAGGATGGTTGGAGGTAAACATACAGCTAACGCGGTTGGATCTTTGTTTGTATTGCAGAGGCACATTGCGCGCAGGCCCACGCTGGGTAATGCAAAGCATATCGGGGGTGCCCGCCGCCGCTCTTTGTTCGGTGGTGCACTGGTTTGCATTGTCTGCGCTGGCCGCGACGCCGTGCCTCTATCCGTCCGTCCGTCAATCGCGTGTGAAGGGCCAAGTCCGGGCCAAATCGGGATCTACTACTACTACTACTACTACCACTACTACTACTACTACTACTTTACCTACCTACCTACATACTGGATATCAGTCCTTCTGCGCTGCGCTGTACGCCATCCGGGCTGGCTGGCCAGGTCGTTGTTGCCAGAATAGAGTCCCCTGCGCTGGCACGCTCAAGCTAATCAGACTACCAACAACGTTGGTCCGTTGAGGCGGTGGCATGTGATAGCAGATATGCCAGAGCCTCTCTTAGCGCGCCCTGCGCCCTGCGCCCTGCGCCTGTAGCGACAGAGTGGCGGAGGCAGTAGCTGGAGCGAGCGCAAATAGCCAGGCCCTGCCCGTACGTTGCTAGCGAAACACTCGCCCACTGCCTAATATTTTAGTATTATATAGTTCAAATTTGATTAATTGACATGTACATACACTTATACGTACACGCGGATACACACACACACACACACACACACACACACACACACACATTATATATATTACCACACCAATCCACATACACGTATATATAAGTATATGTATGTATACATGCGTCTATCTCTGTTTGTGCAATCGCTATTAACTTGTGGATTACGGATAATGTCAAAAGTTAACTTGCTAGTTGTAAGCCGCTTGTCTATATATATGTATACGTATATATACGTATATGAATGCGTACACTCACAAATCTATCACTTTAAACTGTACGCATTGTCTGGTCCTCTATCCTTCTAGTCCCTGTGATAATTACACCATACATCAGCTGCATCGTACTAACTATTGCATCATCATGTGAACTTGTATCGCAACGATTCTGGTCTTTTTTTTAGCGGAATTACCAGTTGGCTACGTCATATAAGAAGACCTTAAACATATTTCATTTTTATTTCACTCGCGGTAAAATGAAGATTTTCACCATCGCGATAATCAGGAGAGAAAGATCAGGATCGTCCTCAATTCAACGGTTTGTTTTTTTATTTTTTTTTTTTTATTTTTGTGTATACGTGTTTTAAACGCTCTCTAAAGAAATATAAAACATGTTACGTATAACATTAAATTATAAAAAGAAAGATCACGCTGAGAAATTATTTTTCGATTTTTTTATGTTAATTTTTTTTGTAATAATCATTATTTTATTAAAAAAAATAACGCGATAGTTTTCGGATCGTTACGTAATTTTTCGGAGAGCGTATCGAATGTATCTTATATAATTTACCGTAACACATTGTCCGGTAACATTCATATTTATACTCGATCCGCGGTATCTCACAATCCTCGCGACACTACTACTTTCTTAACCCATGTCTGTCCTCGACACTGGAACTGCACGAAGCTCCGGCTGGTCTAATGCCAACTCTTAATTTCAGACGTTGAAGACGTCAAGTTTGTCATCAATTTTGACTACCCCTCCTGTTCTGAGGATTACGTACATCGTATCGGTCGTACCGGCCGCCGGCAGAAGACAGGCACAGCGTACACCTTCTTTACGCCTAATAACGCCAACAAAGCTAACGATTTGATACAAGTGTTGAAGGAAGCAAATCAAGTGATCAATCCGAAACTGTTGGAGCTCGCTGACAGTAAAGCTGGCGGTTACGGTAGGAACAGAGGTAAACACTAAAACGATCACTGAAGAATTACAAGACTTCCATTATTGCTATCAATTAATATCCATCCCTAATTAAGATACCATGCTTTTTAAAAACTATGGAATAACTTCTTTCTGCATACTCTTTTAAATATTTTTTAATCCTTTAATCAACCTTCAATAAATAATTTTACATAAAATTGGTTCAATCAATTGGATCGATATTGGCAGGTGGTAGAAATCGATGGAGAACGCGAGGCGGCGGTGGAGGAGGTGGAGGCGGAGGTGGTGGCAGTCGTAACGGAAAAGACCGCAGTTACTCGCGAAGCAGAAGTCGGAGTTACAGCAGAGAACGCAATGGCCGTGGCAGTCGACGGAGCTACAGTCGTAGCTATTCACGGAGTCGTAGTCCCGTCAGCAATCGTAACGGTAAATCCCTATGCTAGATCCCTGTTGATCTAGCAGCGATTGATCTTAACGAGAAATCCTTTCTCCTCAGAAGTTATCGGCAAGAGTTACTGGAGTAGCGAGAGATGATCTTCCAGCGGCGGATAAAGAATACGTGTGCGTGACAAATGCAGGTAATTTTTTTTTTTTTTTTTTTTTTTTACCTCCGACCGAAATCGGGTTGTAGTGAACTGTCGTCGCCCTCAAGGAGATACTTGCTGTTTAAACGATGACACCCTTCGTGCTGAATTCGATTAGGAGAATAGGAGAGGCTGCTATTATCATCTAACTTCTCGTGTACAACAGTCCTTAGTCCTCACCAACGCGCATCGCCATCAATCGAATTCGGCGATTTGATTGTCGACGTGCGATATAATCGATAGTTTGCTGACCACGTTTATACGAATTTTTAACGTCGGCTTTTAACATAAAGCCGATCGTCTTAGCTGACGTAAGTAAGATAAATCCTTAATGCAGACATACTTATAAGGACACTAAAATGTATTCCGTAGTGATAGAAGTAATGGAATGTGCTACCATGTCTTTTACTTCCTTTTGCATCCCCACGTTGCATCTAATTTCTTCCTTTTCCAATGTTCTCAATATACACCGGTCTATAGATTATTAGGTAATGCAAATCTATATTACGATGCAAACTACTACGTTTATACATTTTTTATATAACGCTCCTTTTCGCATACACTATCCCGGTAATAAGAAAGAGCTAGATTGATGTGAGCGAACGGTGTAAATCTAATCATTATGCGAACGGAACTTCCAGAGTATAGCGGTGTTTAATTAATGCGTATCTGTAGATCGTAATAAATTATAGATGTCTTGCGCGCGCTTATTTCTAATTCATCCGTCTGTATTTAGGTAATTACGGCAAATGATAGTAACACTCGATGTACAGTATTTCAACGACGTGATAAATAAATTCATAAATGTCTACATTATATATTCTAATGTTTTGCGTATTATGCGCTCCTATGAGATTTTATTCGACTGTTTCTCAACGACTTTCTTTTATGATTTATCGATACTCACCTATAACAGCTTGACGATGATATTTGTAAATTATATTTACTAATTATTGTTTACTATTTATCTAAAAACATCATTTCATAAAGAAAAAAAGAAAGTAATCGTCAACGTGCTTCGTTAATCATCGATAAAATCGTTTCTATGGGAGAGTAACGACCAAAGTGATTCAAATGTGAAATCGGTTTTCTGCTTGTTCTGTTTAATTTAATTTTTATCTTAATTACAGTGGTAGTACTTAAAGATCTTATGATAATTTTAGAATACCGAATTCCGTTTATCCTCTCAATCCGGTGTTCTCCGTGCGCCAATCTCATCTTTTTTTTTTTTTTCTTTTTGCGGATGGCCGATACTTCAAGGCCATATGATACATCACGACAGGAATGATTATTACTCGATCAATATATAAGGTGTATACCGATGTAATTGACGATCTAATGAGTTCACGAGGGAAAATTCCTTCTTTTCTCTCTTCTTTTTTTTTTTTTATCGGACTATGTGCCACGATACAAATTTATTATGTTACACATCTTGGAATATCGTGCGCTTAAATGCACTCACGAATCACAAACATGCAATATCTTTTTTTTTTTTTACGTTCTCGAGACGCGTGCTCGCTCGAGTCGATTGTTCCGCCGCTTTCGCCGGGAAGGACACAATCTTTACGATTATTGTGGGTAACGTACAATATCCGCTCGTCGATACTTAGTCAGAGCGAGCGCGGTTTTAAAGGATTAATCGAGACATGGAGGGAGGCGATCGACGTCGGAAGACTCGATCGCAATTACGACGAGGAAGTCCTGCGTTGACTTCGACCAAGAACTTCAGCTTGCATCTTCGAATCGATTAGAAGACACGGTAACTTCATTACGCGTTTCAACGAACTTATTGGAGTTCCTTATTGGCGTAAAAATTTACAGTGCCTCTCTGCTCCAGAATGAACAACTCGCGTCCGAAGGATGCACCTTTGGCCGAGGCCGCACGTGGATCTTACTCGCCATCCATTCTTGATTGTAAGAAAAACGACACACTACCGATGTTCTAATCGTAATGTTAACGTCGAAGTACGATTTTCCCGTCGGACTGTGTCCTCGCGATTGCAACGTGCAACGTGGATACTTGTGTACTTTGTGTAAATGTGTGTATGCGTGTGCGTGCACACGCGCGCACACGCACGCGTACACACGTGTAACAAGCTCCTCGCATAAGTTGGGGGTAAAGGAGGGATTTTTATTTTTTTTTTTTTTTTTTACAGGGCTCAGAGCATGCTTCGTTCACATATATTACAACGTACGCATATAACAATAACATTAAAATCCTTTTAGGTGTATCTTCGGACGTAGGAGAGAGCTATGGCGCGCTTATAATTATATTCGCGATACAACAGGATCGTAATTGTGTGCGTGCGAGGGTCATATAGTCGTGTATTAAATGTATACTGCGTGTTTGTATTGTGTGCCTACGGTGAGACACCCTGTGTGCGGATCGATCTCGCCTGGACTGAAGTGACTCCAAGCAAGCGAGTGGCAAATGTGAAGGTGAGGGTGAAGGTTTTACATGGTCGTTCCTAACTTCCGGTCACCGTGTATCCTCCTCCGTGGACGTGACACTCCGGAATCCTTCGTCCTCTTTCTTTTTTTTCTTTTTTTCTTTTTTTTTTTTTCTTCAGCGTTCATCGAGTCTGGATCCGGGGAGGATACGCACGTGTGTCGGTGATACGTGTGCCTGCGCGTGCGTGTAGCAGATTCGATGAAATCTATAATTAAACGGTCAGTCAATTGTCCGCAGCCGCTAAGATAATCGGAAGCCTCGTCTTGAAGATCCAAGGAGCGGCGGCTTCTCCGCGGAGAGGGGAAGCGAATCGGTGATGGGAGACGAGACAACGCGTTGGAAGCAGCTCTCGATCGCAAATCATGCACGCTTCGCTCGCTAAATCGAATCCAATCTCCCTCATCTTTAACGTAAGCCGAACCCAACTCAGGAAGAAAAGAAGCGCTCTCGGAGAAAAATGTTTCCTCCTCGTTACAGCTGTTTCTATATTGCGTAGACTCTCTATACGATTGCGATGTGCTCTTACGATTTTACGCGCAGAACGCAATATAATCTCTCGATCGTCTTCTCTCGTGACTTCTTTCGCGTGGGCGGAAACGAAAGCGAAAATACGTCGGAACGTAACGCGCTTATCGGTGTCGAGATTATTTTTCTCCTCGCGAGAGAAAGGTGCGGAGAGCTTCGCGCGGATATTCAGTGAGAGTTTTCGCAATGAGAGATGTTTCGATCTGTCTCATGTCTACTAACTCATGAAATTCCGCTACAAACGCGCATCGAGAAGGCTCGATGAGTGTTTACTCTCGCGCAGGTCCGCGGTCTGTACTTTATGTACAGCCGACGAGGCGCGAATCGGCTGGAGGGATAGATACGCGATCTATCGCCGATATCTCTCTACGTGTAATCGTTTCGCAAATACTGGCTTTGTGTCCCTTTAAGTCTCTCACGTAGGCACGTACGGAGAGACATCCCTTATATATATATATATATACGGTGTCGCGCCCACCATCCCGGAAGCTTCGCGCGGAAGCCGGTAATACGCCGGGTGTTTACGCGCAAACAACGACACGTCCACGCGTACCGTATCCAAACCACACACACACACACACACACACACACGCACACACACACACACACACACATCAGAC